CAATATTGCTTATGTAATTTTAAGAAATTATCAAACTATTATATTAATGAGTATTGGATTATAAGGAAAATCGAATCTGTTTGGGAGATGATAGGTTTGTGAAATAGAAGATCGAATCTGTTTGGGAGTGGATCAGTGGTCTCAGTTACATTTGATAATACATTGAGTTACATCTTTTTATGAGCGAGTTACATCTTTTTATAAGCAAGTTACATCTTTTTATAAGCAAGTTACATCTTTTTATAAGCAAGTTACATCTTTTTAAAAGTGAGTTACATATATATAAACACGAGTTGCATTTGACATGCCTGAACGCGACTTACATATATTTACACGTAAAGTTACATATTTTTACACGTAAAGTTACATATTTATACACGCGAGTTACATATTTATACACACGAGTTGCATTTGACCTGTCTGAACGCGAGTTACATATTTTTTTACGTAAAGTTACATATTGTTACACGTAGAGATACATATTTATACACACGAGTTGCATTTGGCCTGACTGAACGTGAGTTACATATTTTAACACGTAAAGTTACATATTTTACACGCAAATGTTAATATGTTAAAATTACATAGGCAATATTGGTCTCATTTGAAAGATCATGAAAAATAAAAAATGTTGATATAAATTTTATAAAAATCGGATAAAAAAATAAAAAAGTTATTACCATTTTTTAAAAACAAAAGGAAAAATAAATATAAATCCGTACCGGTACACGGTGCTCACTGTATACCGGTTGTACGGTATAGGCACTCTAAGAAAATAGCTTTCCTTAACCGTGTTTCCCTTTCTCTACAACTTTTCCGCAACTCAAATATAACCTTAGAACATAAAAATAATAAGTAGAAAGCACAAAGAAATGGATGAGTGGTTTACTATCACTTTTCCAAGGAAGTCCTTTTTTCTCAAGATACAACTCTCTATTCTCTAACTAATAAGTATGTTAATGTACAGATGTAAAGAAGAATATCCTGAAACCAGTTCTCAAATTTGAAATTTACATGCTGCTCTAAACAAATTCATCAAATTTATTTGGGGATGAAGGATGTAGTTAGGGCTGAGCACGGATCTGGGAATTCTCGTTCCGTACCGAACAATCGTCCCGAACCGTTCCAGAACCGATAAAATCGAAAAAATGTAATACCGTACCGTACCGAGCTTTTTTAATAATATGGTACGATACCGGTTCTTAGTGAAACCCATACCGGAACCGTCCCGGAACCGTAAGAGTAATGAAATCTAGGGCTAATAAAAGCGGACATAAAAAGCTATCCACTACGAAAGAAATTGTGCACAAGTCACTTCTGAGTTCTAAGGCCGACAAATATGCTTACCATTGCGCCTTGAGCCCTTGGCCTAAAATCATTGGTCTAAGACCATTAGCTACCATCAACTAAAAAACGGATGAATACTACTCCGTACTTCGTTAATACCTGTCGTGATAACACTGTAGTGACATCAAGGTGCGCAAAGGTGGCTGCGGGAGCAGATCAGTCAAGTCATCAGTCAAGTCAAGCTTTGATACAAGTAATGGAACCTTTCTCGATTGTAGTAATACGTTCTTGGAGTCCTCCAAGATTAAAGTCGGCTGATAAGTAACATCTGAGGGGATACGTCGTAGTAAAGCAGATACTTCAGAGTTTGCCTATGCTAGAAAAGACAACCATGTTAGTATTTAGTAAAACAAAATTGCTCTTTGTACACACAATTTGTACACTCAATGTACACACTATTTAAACCCAAAAAAATTTATCCCCCTCTTTTCCCCTCACTCCCCCACCCGGTCCACGCTTCTCACTCGCTCCCCCGCTCCTCGAAAATCAAAAGTCCCCCACTCGGCCCACGCTTCTCTCTTCTTCCTTACAACGGCGAAAATCAACGAGCCGCAACTTCCTGCGGCGAGCCTAAGCAACTTCCTCCTTCTAGAAAATCAAACCTGCGGCGACATCCCCTTTCTTCTCTCCCACATCCCCACGAAACCGGCACCCCCACTTACACTCTCTTCTTCGCGATTGATTCCAGGTGTGTGTGAAGAAACAGCCTCCTCGCTGCGGACTGAGGTTGGACCACGACGCACAACAATGGTGCGAACCCCACTCGCAGAGATGGCCGAGAGGTATGTATCATTTCCCAACCTTTGTTTGTTTTTAGGTTTATTATTTAATTTGTTGGGTTTTTTGCAATCTTCGAACATTTGTCTGTGGAGTGGTTTAAAATTTTGTCTATGATTAGTGTAAATCCTTTGTTGATGTGCGCAAGTTGTCTGTGTGGTGGTGTTAACTTCATTTTTTTGTTATTTATTGCTTGTGAATGAAATTATGTCTATGACATAGTGTAATTCCTTTGCTGATGTTTATAAATTGTCTGTGTGGTGGTGTAAAGTTCCTGTGGAGTGTTATTTATTGTCTGTGAATATACTTTAGGTCTATGAACGTCACCTTTTGTCTCTCTGCCCTAATAATTTATTGTTCTTCCAACTGCCAGAGCCCTGAAGTTACGCATTCCTAGTCATGACTACTTCCCTGCCCAGTATTCGATGTGTTCAAACTTTAGAAATGCTGCCAAATGGGTACAAAGCAGCTTATCTGCAACAGAAATAGAATTTTTTCGCGCTTTACCATGGGGCTATCTTATTGACATCCCACCCACACAATTCTCTGGCCAAGTCTTTCACATGCTGGCCTTACACCTTGTGCAGGAGCAACCTGATGAGGAGCTGTGGTTTGCCATTGGGGTACACTGTATAAGTTTACTTATGTGGATTTTTGCCGCATAAGTGGATTACCAACGGGTGCTGAACCAGTAGCTGCTGCAGGTGATGTTTCAGGATAAGAATCTGGCGATGAAGCTGAACCAGTAGGGGCCATTGCTAAGAAGTATTTAGGTGGCTCAGTCGACATTACACACGTCAATTTGAAGAACAAATTTGAGAAACTGAAACTTTCCAAACGTCGTGATCAGATGGATGCTGTAAAGTTGGCCTCCTTGTTCTATATTGAGTGTGTGTTGCTTGCTAAGGACAACACTACGAGGATAAATGCATCCTCTATAAGACTGGTGAATGATTTAGAGGAATTCAAGAAGTGTTCGTGGTCACTTCGTTCGTACAAGTTATTGGTGAGTCATATGAAGGGTCTGATGGATGGTCAACCTCAGAAGTTCAAGGACCGGAAGAAGAACAATCCAAACTATAGAAATGCCAAGCTATCTGTCTACGGTTTTCCACTAGTTTTGCAGGTATATATGACAACTTCCCTATTGTGCTTATTTATTTGTTCATATATAAGAGAACAATATCTATTACTTATTTCTTATTGTGCGAACTAGAAATCTATTCTTTGGTTATTATAGGTGTGGGCTTACGAAGAAATTAATGAAGTTGGGAAGAACTTTGCAAACAAAGTGGGTAATCATGATGTGCCATTACTCAATTGGAAGGCCGAACGAAAATTTCATTACTCTAAGTTTAGACGAGTAGTATTTCCAGAGGTAATCTGTCATTGATTTTGTTAATGTTATGTATTTTTATCATTTGACAATAAATCTTCAATGATTTTTAAGGAGGAGGAAAAGCTTTCTGATTCAGAGGGGGGAGAGGAAGAAGAAAACCAAGAAGAAGAAATGACTGAGGAAGACCTGCGCTTGTTCGAAAAGGTTAAAATATTGGAGGAGCTGCATGACCTACGGAAGTATGTTCAAAGGGTTGAAAACAAAATCACTTATGTTGAAAAAAGTCTTTCAGAAATAAAGGTACTACTTCTGAAGTTGGTTGGCAAATCGAACCCGTCGATGCAGGTTGAGGTTGTGAAAGGAGATGCTGACCATGTTGCTGATAGTGAAGATGGTGAAGATGCCACACGGGCAGATGTAATCATCTCCGTTGTAATGACTGAGGTATGGGTTTTTATCTATCTTTATTTTTATTTTTGTAGAATTAGAAATGAAGTTGTGAATTATTCAATAGGTGAATTGGGAAACTGAGCAGAATAAGGTAGCAAGCAACTTCCCAGATCTTATGATGTCTTTAAATGAGGTAAAGTTGTGTTGTTCTGTTTGTGATTGTTTGTGTATGAGTCTCAATGTTGGTGTCCATTAATAGTGTTTGTCTGTGTGTACAAAGACATAACAATGTATTATATTTCTTGTGAATAGGACAACTTACCTCCGTTAACAGCCCCCGGTCCATTTGAAAATTTGGATTGGGATGGAGATGATGTTGGGAGTGCGCCAATAGATGTTGAGGCCATACAAGTTGTGAGCAGGAAAGAAGTGAAAAAAAGAAAACGTTGTCGTTCCAAATACCAGTGCTCACCATATGTTGAGCCCATTGTCTCCATTCAACCTGCTATATTTCACCCAACTGATAATCATATTGCATCTCTAAAAGCTTGGATACAAGAAGCTGACACTGTTGAACCTAAAACGTTTGTTCTTAATCTGCCATCATTTGATGAAGTGGACAAGGACTTTTTCCGTGAGCTCGTGGAACCAGATGAGTCTTTATGGTCATATGTGAGTGCCTTCTCATTTTCATATATTGTCATGTATAAATATATGTCTGACATTGTTTTTTGTTAGCATATGGATGCTCTTTCCTACCTGCTTATGAAAGATTGTGCGTCGGACAAGTCGTATAAGCTAATAAGTCCTTACTTTGCGGTATGTGTTGTTTATCTGTACAGAACTTACATAATTATTTAAGATAACATTGCCATAATAACTTTTTGTTTGTGTAACATCAAGTCATGACTAAGGATTATAAGGATGAGAATGCCTGGACTGCTGATAGGTGTCTACCTAGTGTTGACTGGAGAGGTTTACAAAAAGTAAGTGATTACCTTCGTTATTCAATTGTTTGTGTGTTAACTATTTTTTGTTTGTATACAAACATAGCGCATAAGTTTTTTATTTATTTATTGTGTTCAGGTTTTTGTACCTTTGAATGTTGATGGGATGCATTGGGTTTTAGCGGAAGTTGACCTAGATGCAAAATTGGTACGTGTATATGACTCCATGAGAACAAGTAGGTCAATGTTGCATGCGGCGCATTTGTGTGTGAGACTTCCGCTACTCTTCCGATTCATACAAGCCCACCCAGATCTTTCTAAGGTAGAGCATTGGAATGCTCAGCTAGCTGCAGATGTTCCACAACAAGAGGGAGGGTAATGTTAATCTGTTCACCTACAAATTTGTTTATGTGTAGTGTACTAATTTGTCTATGAATACATATTAATTCGTTGTTATGTCTGTGTGGCAGAACTGTTTGCGGACTGATGGTTGTTTGTTATGCTGAGGCTTTGTTGTTGGGACTTCCCTTGACACCACATTGCGAGTATGCGAACGTGGCTACAAAGAGATGGCACTTTGCGCTACGCCTTTGGAGTTTGAGGAAGCCAGTTTCTTAGAAAACATGCAATGTACATTTTTTTGCTAATGTATCAAACATTATGTAGCTGTAAATATCTTTTTTTGCTAATGGTTTAGGTTTTGGTAACCGTTTTTGGAATGGAATGTATGATAATGTACATTGTTGTGCTATGATCAACGTTGTACAATGTCCTACAAGGTACTTCCACAGGAGGGTACATATGAAGGTTGTAGAAAACATTACTCTGCTGATTTTTGTGTAACGAAGTAACAATTTGGTATGGAATGCATCATATTGTTTTTTTTTTGTAAACCCTTGTGTCTGTGAGTATATAATATTGTCTAGGCGAGGTAATACGTATGTCTGTGACTAAATTATATTTCACAAAATATTATCAGTGGCAAAAACCAGACAAAAAACTATACAATTGTGCCACCAGTAGCTGCACCGTTTAACACCAAATATACATTTAACACCAATTAATTCACATCAAAGATAGATTTAAATCTAAACCAGTAGAGTACACAATTGGCACATTAGCTACACCGTTACTTTGGATCGTTGTGGCAGCGGCTCGTGCATTATCCTTCTTAGCCTTTCCTTTCTTCTTCCCCTTTTCTAGTGGACCCTTTGCTCGGTTTTTCCTTGGAGCTCCCTTGCGCTTCGTACATTTAGGATCTCCAATAGGTAGAACTTCGACCTCGCCACCTATACTTGTGGTTGGGTCTTCAAGTGGTGTCATGTTGCCACCAATAGAAGAATGGTTAACCGGAGGAGTATATGTGGACAATTGGGTGTCCAACCAAAGGAGGACTTCGTTGTATTTGGCCTCATCATCTGCTATCATGTTGGCAAAACTCTCAAAGGTCTTACATAACTTTTCAAAGCGGTGTTGTTCAACCGTTGTAATCCACCCGTCATAATTGATTTTCACTCGTTGGTACGCTCTTTTCATGTCTTTCCTCCATCTTTTCATTAGGTACACCTCGGGCAAGAGTTGTATATCAAGCCGAATTAGGACCACAATTAAGTGTTTACATATCATTCCCCTAAACTCAAACAAATGACAACTACATATTCCAAAACAAGTAATTGGGTCAAACTCAATATAGAAGTTCACATTCTTCTTAAACCCATTAATATCCATACGCTCCTTCACCATAAAATTTTTACCGTCTTCACATACTAGGAGATCACAATAAAGCTTTCCAAGTAATTCCTTTTGAAACTCCGCAAACTTGGAAAGAGTGTAAATGTGTTGCACTTGTTTTTCCATTGGATATGTAGTCACACATGGAATCATTTTGGTAAATGAGTTAGTATCCGCTTGAAATTCCTTTTCCACCTTATCACGCAAAGCACATCCGTATTGTTCAACAAATTGTTTGAGAGTGGTTTTCGAATTCACATACTTATCAAAAAATGCGTTCATGCTCTCACTTCGTTGAGTTGTGGACATGCCCGCCCAAAAGGTTGGCTTTAAATAACATGGTACCCAACGCTTTCTTTCATTGTACATCACCCCTAGCCATTCATGTTCTTCAAGTGAAAACCTGAAAGCATATACACTACAACAGCTCAGTTTCACAATAAATGAAAAATAAGTTGTTCACTGCCCACAAACACTTTTATGACTGTGAACTACAAAATTTATTGTCTATGACCGATACACATGTCTATGAGCCAGAAAACTTACTGCTAGTACACAAAATTAAGCATACAAATTCATACCTTTGAACCATGTCAACCCATTTCTCCTCAAACTCTTGGGTGTATTGGGAATCATAAATGCAGTCATGCAAAACATTCAATATTTCATCTTTTTGTGCATCCCCTCCGAGTTTTTCGGGTACCTTTTTCATGATGTGCCATAAACACCATCGGTGGTTCGTGTTTGGGAAAACAAGTGCAATGGCGTTTTGCATAGCACGATCTTGGTCGGTAATAATCCCAATTGGAGCAATGACATCCATACATTCAAGCCATGCTTTAAACAACCACATAAAGGTTTGTGTATCTTTATTAGAGACTAATCCACATCCTAGTAGCAGTGATTGCCCGTGATGATTTACGCCGAAAAATGGTGCAAATGGCATGTCATACCGATTTGTAAGGTAGGTCGTGTCAAACGGTATGACATCTCCAAATTCTTTGTACGCATATCTACACCTATTGTCGGCCCAAAAGACATTACACAATCTTGACTCCTCATCTAAGTCAAGTGCAAAGAAAAATCCGGGGCATTGAGCTTGCATTTTAGCGAAGAACCCTTGAATGGCAATTGCATCCCCACTACCTAACCTAAGTTTTCTAACTTTATCTATATAGTTCCTACAATCTTTTTCAATGAAGGGAAATTGATCATACCCACCGGCCTCAACAACGGCCGCGGTGAAGCTTTTATTAAGTCGTATTCCCGCAACATCATTTATTGCAAGTTTCCTCGCCATTCCATGAGTTAACTTCCGATTGCATCGGAATAGGCGAGCCTTTGTTGGACTCATAGGATGTGAATGTTGTAAAAAGACTTTTGAAATTTGCCAAATTCCCGCATAATTTACGTGCGCTCGTAGTCTAGCTTCACACCCTATTTGCATTGAAGGTTGGGGCTTCAATTGATTTTTTGACTGACTACATCTTCGACCAGCCCGCGAACATTTTAGTAGAATTGACACAATGTGTTCTCCTCTTTTGTCTTTAGTTGTGCTCCTAGTTCTTATAGGAAATCCCAAACGCTTCCCGTATGCTTTGTAAAAATCATAGACTGCTTTTCTACTTTCAAACTCCATACCAACTTCCGGATCTTGACCAACTTCATTCTGTTTTGGCAGCTCTTCTCCATCTGTTATGTTACATGATTCATTTATTAATGTGTTCTAACCAACTTACAATATCGCACAGACAGTGATATATGCACACAGACAATTCAAATCTTTCACAGACTAGTTGAAATACTACACAAACAAATAAATCTTCCACTGTCTTCATACACAAACAAACACACACATAAACAAGTGACAGCTCCTACGACTTGCATGTGTCACCAAACGTATGCATGCTTATGTGTCACAGACACGTTGAATACTACACAAACAAACATGTTTATGACATTCTGCAAACACTAACAACCCACAAAAACAAGCATAAACCCACTAAAACTCACATAAACAAATAAATTAACACATAAACAACTTCCACCTCTAACAACATGCCTGTGAGAGTAAACGTATTTCAACGTTCAAGAAGATTACGTCACTATACCAAGGTCAGAAACGACGTCCATGGCCGCCGGCGACGTCAGCCCTTCATCTACCCCGGCTAGGTTCGTGTGATCGTCATCTTCTCCGGCTCCAAGAGTGCGTCCAACAACATCTCCAACTCCGGTGTTATCTCCAGACCCCTCTCCGCCTCCATCCGTCATCCCGTCACCTTCTCCAGCTCCGGCCGTCTGTCCTTGAATTTCTCCAGCTCCGGAAGACATCCCAACTTCACTGCCTCCGGGATTCTCATTCCATGAAGCCCAAAAATCGTCGAAGTTAGTCACCAACGTGTCGTCGTACGGAAAATCCATCGAAGAGGAAGCTTTGTGAAGGTTGATGAAGGTGGAAGCTTGTTTGTTGATTTCGTTGAAGGGAAGAAGAGAAAGGAGTGGCCGAGTGGGGAGCGAGTGAGAAGCGTGGGTCGGGTGGGGGAGTGAGGGGAAAAGAGGGGGGTAAATTTTTTTGGGTTTAAGTAGTGTGTACATTGAGTGTACAATTGTGTGTACAAAGAGCAATTTTGTTAGTAAAAACTGAGAAAATGTTTGACAAGGATTATTTGGCTGAAATTAGTGAATATGCTAAATATATTCTTAAAAGAATAAGCTTTTGATCTAGAAAATATTGTTGTTATGATTATTTTTATAGTCACAGTTATTGGTGGAGTGTGAGCATATTGACATGAGTATTGAGTATTTGAGAATCGAAATATGCATGATGGAGTTGATATCAAAGATACAATTAGGTAAAGAGTGACCAAAGACACCCACATACACTTCTGCCTAAGTGCCGAATTGAAGAAGCATATGCACTTCCTTTTTCAACATTGATTATCTGCTTTCAAGTGTTTGATCTTTAAGATATAAACCGTATGAAAAATTATGGACAGGTACCTCACAAGAATACAACAAACATAGCAAATGATAAAAACACATTTTTGAAGGTAAAAATTAACATAATTTTTTGGTTAAGCATCATGTGAGACGCGCATCGGGCGTACCGGAACATTGAATGCTCCTACGTATTCTTCATGTGCGTCCGGCCGCACCACAGGGGCCGTCCGGTCGACGGCTTTTCGCCGCCTTCCCGGAAGAATATTTTGATAAAATTTTTATGACATGTTCTTCATCAAGTCTAGTTTATGTACAAAAAAGATCAGCTAAAAACTCAATCCGGAAGGTCATCAAATGATTTTTTGAAGTTGACTGCATTTTTTGTGTGTAATTTTGCATAGTTAACTTCAAAAAATCATTTGAAGACCTTCCGGATTGATTTTTTAGCTGAATTTTTGTGTGGATAAACTAGACTTGATGAAGAGCATGTCATAAATATTTCATCAAAAAATTTCACCGGGAAGGCGGCCAAACGCTGTCGGCCGGACGGCGCTTCTCCTGCGGACGGACGCACCAGAACGGCGCTTCTATACTGGGATTGATTCCACTACAAAGAGGGTGCCAGGCAGAAAGTAAGAAAACATGTGAACCGTGGAAAACAATAAAATAAGGGCTTGGATTATCGTAAATTAAGTTGGCGGACTAACACTTGATTTCGCTGCACGATGTCCATCATACGGAGAACTCAACCTTTTCCATTTATGATTAATCGTTCAGTTTTTGAATGCAGAGTAGTAGTTACTCAAATCAGGGGTTTCCATTTATGAAATATCTTTCACTTTTTGAATGAAGAGTAGTAGTTAATCGTATAGTCGTGTGAGACGAAGAGAAGATGAACGAAGAGCATAGTAAGACTTTCAGTAGGACTTCAAGATAGTTCAAAAGTGGAAGACTAGACAGAGAAACCAAGTGCAGAAGACGTTAGCGTAG